AAAATAAATATAAAAGTCTGGACTAAGCACATGATACATATTATTTTTTAATAATTTTTTTGATTCTAGCCTTCTTGCTAGCTGAAGAACTATTTATACTAATACAATCTTTTAATAACCCCATAATGATACCTACCAATCACCATTTTTACGTTGTTTGAAGTGATTAATTTGGTATTCGCTTCTACTTGTAGTATATATACCATCAGGAGTATATATGATAAAATTCCACTCTATACCTGTGGTCATAATACCATAGATATAATCAAAATAGTCATTCCCAAATGCTTGATTTGCAGTTTATTTCTTTTTATTCGTTTGAAATGCTTTATATTTTGCTGTTAGAAAGGAAAAAGTTAAGGAGATACAAGATGCAATTAGTATTATCATCTGATGCTGAGCTTCATGAAAGCCTATGCAAATAGAATCTTTATACCTTTTCACATGAAAAGGATTCTAAAGGGATCAGATCTACTGAAAAGACATATAGTTAGTTTCACTCCTGGTGATCTTGAAATTTCAAAGTCCTCAGTATTTTATAACATATACTTTATTAGCAATATTTGCATATATGATAGGCCCTGTATTACAACTAGTCACTCTTTTACATTTTCTCACATATTTTTGGGAAAAAAATAATGAATAAAAGTTAATATGTTTTCTTTTTCGAATATAAGTAAAATTAATATGTCACATAAGACCCTAATTGATGATTCATATTTTCTGTTGTATAATCTGACTGAAGGGGTTATGTATGACTTAGCAAAAAATCTTCCAAGCTGATGATCATCGCTTTGGTTGATGATCAGTATTTTAAACATAAATTTGAATATATGCTAGCTAGAGATAAATACAATCATGACAAGTAATACTAATAATAAATTTGTTCAAAGTAAAATACTTGAAAATCAACTATATGAAGTATTTTTATATAAGAAAATGGATGTATTAGTTATTCAGAAGCACCTAGCCAAAAGAAATCTTGGTATTAATGACAATGCAAACCAAACAGTATTGAATCAAAGCAAGAAAGTGAAAATACTTGATTATACAAGTAGACTATTGTTTAATTTGATAGAGATAATTATATCGATAGAGGAGCAAGCATCTTGAGATTAGTGGATACTTAACTCTTAATATATTATATTGATATAAAGAAGATCTTATCGATAGATTATTGGGAAAATTTTCACTTAGAGAAAAATACCATTTACTTTTATATCTGGAAAAGGATATAAGCATTATTCAACATTATCTTAGTATTATCAGTTATACTGATAAATAAATGATAAAAGAAGAAGCTAAGAAAAATGTGAGAGCATATATTTAAAAGTTTAGACATTTCAAGTATAGTAATACAGAAATTTATCAATAAGGGTAAAATGCTAATCTATATTTTTATCGTACAGATATAATCCAGCAAAAAAATCTAATTAATGATCATGCAAAATACCTCTTAACCCGTTCTGAACTAGCTAGATTATTTAGACTCTAATTCAATTTTAGAGCTAGAAGATTCTGAGTCAGAACAGTAATAATCTTCATCAAAATTTTTGATATAAATATTTGGATTTAGCTGGTCCATGGCTTTTTTGTTAATATTTTCATATCCTTCTAAATCTAAAAATTTTAAATTGAGACATGAGCAAGCAATTTCTTTAATAGTTATACTGGTAATATTGTAATATCTAAGGCTAAGATGCTGAATCTTCAAGCAAAAGCAAATAACATTGCAGATTGATAATTAACTAATAAATATACAACTACTTAGATCGAAATATTCTAATTTATGGCAAGAATGGGCCAGTACTTCAGTAACCTTATTACTAATATTATTATGACTGATCTCTATATGTCTTAAATTTAGAGATTCTTTGATGATAGCTATAATCAATTCATTTTTCCACAAAGTCATAACCCTACTAAAGTCAAGATACTCTATTTTGAAGTATCTTTGTATCAAAATACTAATATCTTTGATATCCTTCTTACTATATGCAATATCAAGATTTCGTAAATTTGAGTATGAGTTTAAGATACAACTTATAAATTTATCTGTGATCTGATGTGCTTCAGCAAATGAAACACTTATATATCATGACAATTTTCTGCAATTTAAAATAAGGATTTATTAGTAATCATAAACTAGAAATAGTACATCTATATCATAATTAGTAAACAAATAGAGCAGGATAAAGGGATTTATCTATCACCAAGAAATGTAAAATCTGTTTTAATACTTCTGCTATATTAAAAATACTTGATTGTGTTATAAATATTCTGTTTTATATATTGTATCTTCAAACGAAAAAATAAAATTATGTGATCACTGCTCTAGACTAACTAGCTTACTCTAATTGGCTAGTAAGTTATTAATTGACAATCTGGATAAGATCAATACCATATGATTATATAATTAATAATAAAATTTGGGGATATTAACCATATAAAATGTAAAGTCTTCTCTGAATTTGACGTGCGTAACTAATATTCATTATAATAAAGCATAAATAATCTTAGTTACTCATATAAAAAAGTGAAAAAATAGAAAAGAATTTAGAAAAATCTTTTCATTGCTATCAAAAAACGATTAGTTGTTTATAAAAAAGGTGAAGGAATTGAAAAAAAAAATTTGAAAAGACTTTTATTGGTATTTATGCTAAAACACCATTCAGTTACAGTTAGTTTAGTTAATACTGGCTTAATTATTGAAGAATTTCACTATGTGCCATACTCCTATTACTGGTGGAAAAATATCAACAACAAATAAGGAAAATACAATCTACTTTCCTCTTCGTATAAGTCAAAAAACAAAAACCTGTCTTAACAATCAAGATTTTTTTGTAACTATTATTGCTGGTAATAAAGATGATGTCATG